TTGCCAAAAATCCAGTTTCGCAATTCATATACGTAAACGCGAAGAGAAAGTTTACATGTTACATCAGACACTTAACTTTTAATAATCTAGCTTATATTTCATACATCATTTTCCCCGAATTTTTAGCAACTCGGATCCTCCCAACAATTCAGTTTTAAGCCGCTTCAATTTATAATCGGCTTAAAAACTTGGTTAATTTTGACAGACTTGTTAAAATCCCATTTATTCAATGGCACGTTGTTACATGTACGAGTGAGAAACGTGCTAGATACGTTTTCGAAACAAATCCTTTGTTGGATTTCGACATCCCCTTCTTCATCTCCTTCCGTCTCCAACCATGATAAAAGTAGCCGTGAGAGCAGCCGTGCAGTGCCAGCTTTATTGGATTTGATTCACGTTTCCTCGTCGAAAGAGATGGAGGAATATTTGGATCAAGTTCAGCCGTAAAGTGAAAGTACATGTGTACGAATTCTGAGAATATGGACAGAGTGAAAACGACGGCGTCGACAACTGATTCAATTTACTAACTCTCTTGTTTTCATATTTATTCACATTATCCCCAATCCCATTGTATTACTTGCTGGCTTCTTTCCCTCTTTTGAAACAGTTTGCACCTGTGGTTCCACTTATTTATTTTGTCGAAATGACGCAAATTCATGGACACATTTGGATTACCAATGAAAACCCACAGAAACTCTGAGGTAATTGAGCCATTCGTATTGAGAACCTTACATATCGCAATGTTCCGACTCATTGTTTTTGGCTTCTCGCCCTTCGGAATACATGATCTCTAGACTATTGTTTGGTGGGCAAGTTTTCTACAGGGCAACACCATCATCGTCTCGTCTTCGTCGTCGTCGTCCATTACAAAAACGAAGCAGAAAGAAAACGGAGGACAAATGGGAACATCTGGTCTCAATTGGGTGGGTCGACTACTCGACTCTTCTGGGTGACGTCCATCCGTTCCCTGTATTCGGAGGACAAGGAGGAGGAGTGGATTTTCCTCAGTGATTTATATATTTTAAGCCTTCATCCAATTCCATTTCTTCTTTTAGCAATACAAGAGAACGAAAGTCGACTATCGTCCCAGATCCAAGTCGACAAGAAGAAATGGGTGGTGATTTAAAACTACTACTACTTTCACTTGCCTATTTTTCCTCTCCACGTTTTACTGGTATTGCATGCACGAAGGATCAAATCCGCAAATTGCTTCATTTTTTTATGGCAGAGTTAAAGTTCGATCAGATTTTGGTCCGTAATACTTTCACCACCTACGCAATAACCACGACCTTTTTCTTATTATTATCCTTGTCTAGCATAAGAAGAAACAAACCTAGAAGACACGTAACAATTTATTACACAATGCATACATAAGACCCATGCCAAATTTAACTTTTTCCTCCCTCGCCACAATTATTCACGTACAAAGTCGTAGTGGACGTGATGACGACATACATTTTCTCGTAAACTGTTGCTTTCAGCACGATCACGTATCCTCGTTTAATTCAAGTTTATCGTCCGTCACACACGGAGAAAAGGAAAACGGTTCGTTCACCACCGTCAAACTTTTTCATTCAAAACATGCACTAAATAAGTTTCATTATTGATTGGGAAATAATTGATCGCGCATTTCTCCACTGCTTCGTGTCTCTCTCATGCTGTCTGTCTGATTGACATTTTACGATACGTTTGCCATGTACGTACCTGTACACTTTTGTGATTCAATCAAGTCGGCCTGAAGGACGGATGCCATTTAAATACGCGTCATACTTCCATTATTATTAGAAATTGTCACTCACTCACTGTGACAATTGCTCTGTGAAGTTGGCTTCGTCTTCTTGGAAGCTCTGCTCTTCCTGCGTGGTTAATATTTATAATGTGTGATAGCATCAAATAGGCTCATAAATAAAGATGCATCATTCCCTTATTAAATTGAGTAGTGGGCGTGTGCGAGGAGAAATTGAGTGTATGGTTTCTTTCATTAATGGTCTTATTTTCCAGTGCACGGGTATTCTTAGAATTTTATACGAAAGTAAACTTGTGGCAAAAAAGAGGAGAAAGTTGTGCAAATATGTACTATTGTGCTATTTTTGCTATTGTTTACTATCATACCTGTTTTGGTACGAGTGGTGGCTATTTTTTGCAGGACTTGTTTAATTCCAGAGTAAATCCTGGTTTTATAAAGTTTGAGTTTTATTATAGTTTTTGCATTCTTCTTGCTCAGAAATGAGTTCTGTGCACAAAATAATCCTCTCTCTTCTAATTTATGCTCAGTAAATAAATGTAAGGATAAGCTATTGAGAACCTTCTAATTATTCCAGTGTCAGCCTGATTGTGCCCGTGACGCAGTTAAGACACGTCGTTCCGTTACGTATATATGACCGAAATTAAGGTATATTGCGGGAATTATTAATTGTTTAATGTGATATGAGTGGGCGAAATGGCTGCTTTCGGTCTCTCTGCTTATGTGACATTGTTTTCTTAATCCGTGCCCTAATAAAAGCCCAGCAGGGCACGAACCTTTCCATCGTCATTAATTAGTCAGTAGTATTAATATAATATACGAGGAGTTGTCTGCTATGCTATTATGTAGGAGTAGGAACCATTCCTTCTAAATAATAATTATCGCAGATTAGCCCGACGATGTTTTCTCGAACGACTCACCCACCGAGCGAGGCCTGATCTGATTAGCTAAATAGATATTCGGTCCACAAATACGGCGACACAACTTTTGTTATTTTTCTTTTCGCTAAATCCAGGATTGGGAAATAATAATTAGCTCGGAAATAAGGACCAAGTCGAGCATGGCGTTAATGAGATTGAAGTTGAAACCTCTCTAATTCCAAATTGGTGATGCAAGTCGTCCTGCATGCATGGCTGTGTTATATTGTGAAGGTTAAGTCGTGTAAAGGATATCAGCACACAACAAACTGGGCTAAAACTGTTGAAATAGGAGAAGGGTTGGTTGGTGAAGGATTACGACAGGCAGAAGTGTAATCAACACCTGAGCCACACCACTTTCTTCTCTCCATTCAGCAACCAACCAAACCAGCGTAAATGGGGTAATGGACTCAATTAAGTCATTTCCTTCCTTCCTCTCTCCTTTCCTTTCGCGATATTCTGCAATATTCCACAGCCAGCCAAGCAAGCTGCTCATGCAAAATTCATTTATGTAACTTCCTCCACCAGGCAAAAACCTGCTTGACTATGTGATAAACAAAACATTCACTCGCACGTAGGACATTCATTACGATGACGACGACGTCAGTCTTAATATGTCAGGTTCACGTGCTAATTAATTTTTCACCTGCTCGTGTGGTGAAGTTTGACATTGTTTGTGTGAAGACTGTGTCTACTTAAAGGCACAATTTGTTCAAGTGATGGTACGTATGACGCTCTGTTATGTAAGATGGATTCATTGTTGTACGTTTTAACGGCCGGGTGGCCACTAAAGAAAGCCCGTCCTAATTTGGAATGGGAGGGAGGCAAAGAAACGAGAAGAATTAAATAAACAACAGAGTCCGTTAGCAATTTAGTCACTTTTACTTATGTATTTCTTCCCTACGTGCCATTATTCCAGCCAGAGTGAAAGGATGCTTGGCCATAAACAGTAAAAATAAAATGCCAACTACGTTACAGCACAAAGTACAGGGACACAGAAGCTTTGGGCGGAAACCTTTTAGTCAAAAAAGCAAAAGCCTTTTTGATGTCCTTAAATTCCTTTGAATTCCGACCATATTTTCGATCTCACTCCCATTCCTGCAGCATCGCATGTTTGAAAATTCGACGTGTTTTTTTAAGCAATTGTTGTTTCGGCGGAATGATTTCAAAATAGTTTTGTCGGGGGAAGAAAACATGTGAAATCCAATTTGATTACAATGAGGAGGACAGGACACGTAGTCATCGTGTGGATGGGGTATGCCTATGTGCCCTTACTTGACAATCTAACCGCACACATTCCATTCCTTCCGCAACCTTCAACCTGCCGATATGCACGACCACGGCTTGGACAAACATGGAGGTGCATGAGATTGTGAGGGTATAATATACATAATAGCACGAGATGAAATGGACACCAGTCGTCAATCCGATTATTATGCAATGCACGTCGTCCCCTCGGCTCTCTGGCTGCTGGAATAAAATGAGAAACAGCCCAGCAACGACGACTACTGCTGCTGCGAGGTCCTTAAAGTGAAGGAGAGAGAGAGAACAAGTCCTTGAAAAGCAGTGGGTGGTGGAGCTGCAAGACGGCTTTAGAACCAACCGGACTTTCACTCTGCATTTCATCCGAACAAACTGATGCCCTGATCCAGCGAGTCAGGAGGAGAGACGAATAGAATAGAATTAGAATAGGAGCAGCTTTTGGTCTTCTCTGAACTGGCTGGCGGTGGCTTAAAGTTCGCTAAACTTGAGTAAACTAGTGAAGCAATAAGGGAGCCAGAGAAAGTAACATGTAAACACTTTCTACGTTTTTCCTCCCTCATGTCTTCCTCCTTTTACGTCTTTACTTCCATTTACTCTCCTCCATTCACAACTGTTTGCCATTCCATGGAGTCAGCAACTTTGTCAAAGTCAGCCCACACGACGGGAGGATTGGAAATGCTCTACGATACGTAGGTACGTACGCCAGCCATCTAGTCCTCCTGCTTAGCCCGATTGGATTAGCAAAGTAAATTAATTTTTGCCCAGATTTCACCCATTCACTCAGACCTAATGACTAAATGCTTCATGTTAATGAGTAGCCGGGTGACTTAATTTCCTGTACTTAATTTAATCAATTATCCACTCTCGGTTTAATACTCGGAGCGCATTTTGGTACATATCTGCATGCCAAATACGCGCACCAAAGTTTACTGGGTAGAATGAGATTGTGAAATGAAGGAAGTTTTAAGATTGCACACTTTTTTACATAGCGCAAACAGAGACCAAAGAGAAAGCAGTGAGCGATATGCACACATTAAAAAAGAAAGAATTTTACTAAAAAAGGCGAGTAAACTTACTTGTTCATGCTGAGGTAGGGATCCAACGTTAGCTCGCCTCGGTCCGCAGCATCTGAGGGTCCTTCCAGGGGAAAGTCTGAAAAAAAGAGTGAAATAAGTATGTATTTGCATATTGTTTTACAATTCGTGTTTAACCATGGTTTTAATTAAATGCAATTAAAATCTATTTATAACTACGTAATAGCGGTGATGGGGGTGAAAGAAAGGATAAAACAGTGTATATTCTTGGTCACGTACTTGAATATATTTTTGCACTTGTTACATGTATATTCTGAAGTACTTGGTCGCATGTTGGTTATTTTGCATGTCGCAACGCTGGCATTTATTTAAAGTTTACAACATTTCTCCTAGAAAATGATATACTTAGCGCAATCTATACGATTTAAATGATGCCATGAGACGAAAAACATTCTTGGTGAAAGTTTGATTTGCAAAATTGCACTTGCAAAGTTTGATTTGCAAAATTGCCACACTTTATTTTCACACGACTACAAGAAGAACAAGTAGATACACCACTGCATGAAATACCCTGCACTAAAACCTAATAATCCAGAACGGAAAGTATAAAAAAGTATGAAAGAGAAAGTTGTTGGGAATTTGATGCGTCGTTTACATTTTTGTTTGTGCACTTCACGTTCAACTAAATAAAAGTTTGGACAGGCCGTTTCTTTCTTTGCCCTTCTACGTAACTGCCTATTTGCTTTGCTCGATATGAATCTAATAGACAGGCAAAGTTTTATTTGCTCAAGTGTTTCGTAGTGTTCGAAAGGTTGAAATTTTACAAGGAGATTGTAGATTATGCATTTCTAACCATATTCGTTCCCTTGAACTAAAAAAAGTAACTTGTCTCTATCCACATCTCCATTGCCTAATCCACATTTTACCAATTGACAAAAAAAATTCAGAGGGTTTCATAAAAAAACACTTGAGAGAGATGTACTTAAGTCGAGGACTTTGTTCAAGTCGCAGTAAGGACAAGGACAAAACAAGGATTTTTATGTGAACATTTAATAATTTGGCAGCCGCCTCACTTGCACAACACGATCGTAAATGTCGCTACATTATAAAATAATGTGCTTTATGTGGAAAGAAGAAAACGGTTTTTCAGACGCAGAAAAGAACAATGCCGAAATGTTACGAGGATTATAAGAACAATGATCTCCCACTCGTTTCATTTTCTCAAGAATTTCAACATAATTCAGAGAATTAACTATTACGTATTTCTGGTAATAACTTGTTCTTCATGTCATTCACCGAAATGAAAAATACAAAAAAAAGAATACCGTTTCCTCATCTTTTTTTGTACTTTGTGTTGTTTTCGATCATCGAATTGTATCAACACCCACCATCAACCTACATTCGTGTTGACATCATCATCAGAAAACGGTAATAATAGAATTTAAGAACGCACAAGGATAAAAGAAATTGAGATCACGGCATCGTCACGCCATTCAGATCATTATCGACGTATCCCACCCACCTAAAAAAGAATCTGAACATCGTCAGCTCAAGGGAAACGAGATTTTGCTTCCTCCAACAAAATTGGGTTTTCCTAATAACCTCGTCCCACCGGTGATTGAAAACATTTTTCAGTCGCATTTCTTCTCCTTCCAGTCCTAATTTCCTTACTTGTTAATCTCCTGAACCATGTGAGGAAATTATAAATCACTGAGAATAGCAATCACAGCAAATAAGCCATCTTCGAAGATGGCCCTTTGCTGGAAATGATGCTTATTGCAGATGAGCAGCATCAGCCGAAAAGACGTAATAATAAACTCAACTTTAGTCGAAAGTGTGGTGACGCATGCAACAAAGTGCAAAATAAATGACATTTGCCTTCAAATATTCTCACCGAAAATTCTCAACTTTTCTTCTCTCCACGGAGAACGAAGTGAAATTGAAATCTTTGATTAATTGCTGCCTCCAGTTTCGGTATAATAACGTAATTACCACTTTCTAAAGACGCCCCGATTGAATAAATCCAGTCAAAATGTGAGAATTCTTTTCTTTTTCTTTCCCTAATACTAGGAACTTTTCACCACGATTTTCAAATCATAGCGATCTTTCCACACTTTCTTAAAACTTTCTCCTCCTACGACTCCAATATTTTTTTCATTACATTTCGAAATTTAAATTTTGGACTGATTCTCATTATTTAAACAAAGTCGCTCTCCCCAGTGCAGTCGAGTGCAAAAAGTGACTTTACTAGACTAGAAAAGACGACACAGACGGCGACATTGGGACAAAATTGAGTTTTTCTTCCTTCGCATTCCCAAAGAATGAGGCGATGCGAGGCAGATCCGTGCCCACTCCGCAGACGAAGAAAGGCAAATAAATTCCGACTTAAGTCAAGTGATTATATTCGAATGAATTATAAAAGCGCAAGTCGTGAATGCGGTGTGCAAACACAAAGTCTTTAAAGGATTAGAAATTTAGCATGTGGGTGACCTTTAAAGTAAACATAGGAGAGAAAGCTCCTGCTGCAGCGGAGGAGGAGGAGGTGGAGAAAGTGCTTTGAATTCCATGCCAGGTGCGACCAGTCAATGAATAAATGCAAAATTTACCAAAGAAAAAACCTTTCTGGACGATTTCTCCTTTAAATTCAGATTTTTTTTTCGTGCTTTCTCAATATTTGTCTAATAAATCAATACAATCTTTGCATAACAATTTCAAAGTGGAAACAGAATATTAATCTGAAGTGAGTGAGTTGCGACAATGCAAGTATAGGTGGAAATATAACGTAAAATTTGTAATCTATTGGTTCCGGTGGAGATTTATGTATGCCTCCAGCCCAGACAGTCAACGGAGAAGATGCAAGTAAGCAAACAGAATACGGAGCCGAGGTGAAAGCATGCATGTACGTGCGACGAGGTGAACGAGGGAGTGTACATTGTGTCATCATTCTTATCATCGTCGTCATCAGAAATGGTCAGGATAACAGGGTTTCTCGCACTCTTGCAGCGAGATAACGTACATAAAACACGTGTTAAATCAGGTAATTTTGTTCTAGTTTGACCACTTTTCAATTAGGTTTGACTTTTTAGTAATGATTATAGAACTTTGTTAAGAAAAAAGGGCCTACTTAACATAAAAACATGTGTGTTCGGAAAAGGGGTGACTTGGGAACCCTGCAGCACCCGACAGTACACATGAAACAAACATGAAAAGAAGCCCCGAAGGAGCTGCATTTATTTTCTTTGCTTTTTATTTCTTTCTCTCCACTAAACCACACACCCACAAGCGTCGTACATCCGTAGCCTTGTAGTATACTCCTGAAACTGCACTTCATAAGAATTCCGTATAATTTCTGTATAAACCTACTTTTCCTATGCATACTAACCACCGCGACCGGCATTGTGTTTGCCTGTTTTCTTTTTGTACTTTTAAGTAGTCGTAGTAGTAGGTGGTAGGTAGAAAAATGTTAAGGACGAAGTAACCTTCTCCCATTTTTCTCAACCAACACCACGACGACCACGGGTGGAAAGTATCTAGCACGTAAAAACTACCCTCCATCCAGTCTTTCAAAATTCTATGCAATCTGATTAATCCGAATGTATGTATGCATCCGTGTGACATGACATTTTGTATGCCACCGAATTTTCTTGAATGAGACGGAAGGGAAGAGGATTATGATTTGTCGCAACCGAAAGAACGAACGCCTCATCATTTACATACATACCCAATTTCATGATCTGACTGAACACTGCACGATAAATATTGTATAACAAAATCCCGATCGAGTTGTTTTTTTAGTTATATTTGAACTATCTATACGGTATAAAAAATATTTACAATTTCGTGCCCAGATTTACATTTAGAATCGCGGATGAGAGGATTATTCTCATCCTCATCAAATATGCGGACGTGACTTTGTACAAGGAGGAATATTTTGTCTAACAAGAAATTCTCCAATCTGCCAAAGTGATCTGACATTTATGGTTCATCCGAATTAAGTTTTTTTCTACTCCGACTGTGACCACCACCTACAAAAATCGGTTCGAGATCTACTCCCTCAGACTCAGAGAGAGAGAGAGATCATGAAAAAAAGATCAAGAAAACCTGCTGGATGAAAAGGAAATAAAATAATTTGATTGATTGAAGCTTTCTCGTCCAGTATTAATGGGTGGGAAGTGAATGGGGAATCCTGCTCTACTTTTTCTATGAGACAATCACAGCAAAATACGCTTCGTCTCAACGAGTTTGTTTAGATTTTTAGTTTTTTCCTCACTTGTCTGGATTCTAGGTGAAATTTTGTACCGATAAATTGGAAAATGAAGACCTCAACATCCCGATGGATTTGTTTTTCCACTAAAAGAACGACCATGACGATGATGATGACGATGATGAAATTGCACGTCCAAGAAGAACGGAACATGGATGATGAAACTGATGCTCTGGTGGAATTAGTTTAATTGGTTTTGAAAAAATCCAATCTCAATCCTTTCGCCATCCATCGCTGGTGGTACTAGTGGTACTACTTACCGTCGTAGTGCTGCTACTACTACTACTCGTACTACGACTGCTATGCTATCTGTACATATGCACTTGCTATCTCCATCGATCCTCAAGTTTTAAGACAATACTTTCACCAAAAACAAAAAGAAGAAGCTCATCCAATCTTCTCTTCCTTTTCTTTTCATGTTTTTGAGAACTTAACTTAATTCTCGTTCCATTCACTCGACATTCGACGGCAATTTGGAAAACATTTTGGAAAAGTTGATGAAAAACTAACACTTTGTTTGAGTGAAGATAAATACGAATCTATTTTTTTCTCGCCAGGTGAAGTTGTAGTTATTCTGAGACGGAAAAGGAAGAGGAGGAATAACCTGATTTACTTTTATCAAGACACATCAAATCTGAAAACTTTCTCCACATTCATCTCTCAAATGTCAGACTATTAGTGTATCCTATCTCTTTTGGGAAAAATGTGTATTTATTTTCCCACTTCACGCACATCAACTTTGTCACTTGTTCCGCCTAACTTTTCTTGGAGAAAGTTCATTCTCTTCTGAGATGGCTTTAAAAATTTATCAAGAACATTCATCTTGACAGAAATAGGTGTGTGGGTGGGTGTGATTTTCATGCTTTATTCCTGTCTGATAATATTGCCTATCTAACTATTTGTTCATATTAAGTTGAATGTATGCACATGTGTATGCATGCCTAGTGCAGTTATATGTACACACGGGAAATGTGCTTTATGGGGAAAGGTGACGTCTAAACTTAGCCTTAATCAAATATAGAAAATAATAAACGCAAAGGTGTGTCCCCAGCTAATTTACTCGCTCTCAAAATAAGATAATTAATTAAGTAATGGAATTAACTCTGCTGTCTCACAGTCACCCAGCTTGCGACCAACGACCCAAGTGGGGAAACATGGGACGCCAACGACGGGGTAACAATTACTTTCTATCAATTTGGATGAGAAATGCGTATAAATTCCACTTACCATCGGATGCATACCCGTCATACGTGTAGGGTGGAACTCCAACTACGAGCTGGACCATGAGGAAGAATGCCAAAACCCCTCCGACGACGACCATGCTGGTTGTGGTGGTTGGGGTCATTTCGCAGCCTCTCTGCTGAATTGCTTTCTCTAAAAAACGTGGCGTTGCAACTTAAACAGAAAATGTAAGCTTCTTCTCAACTGCTTCCCCTCCACTGCGGCAAAAGAAAGATGAGATGAGGTGATCGTCTTAGTTTTGCGAGTGCTTTTTCTTCAGGTGTCTTCTTCTCCAAAGGAAAGAACAAATACAACTATTAATAACATGAATTAGTACCAGTTTCGATTGGATTGGTTCGAGTAGGAAAAAAGTTTGAGAAAAGTGAGAAACTTAATTTTCTCAAGTTTTCCCAAGATGTAGAAACAAAAATAAAAATAATGTATAAGAATCCTAAAGTTACCTGTGTTTCTTTTGTGGTAACCTTGTTTTTGAAATCGGATAAGCTACCCTGATCGAGTTTCCCTCACTCTGTGTGTCGTCGACTAGTTGATGGAACCTTGTCTCGGTAAATGCCAACTTTCTCTTAGAGAGAGCAAGTTTTATAGCTGGTGGTTGATGGTGGTGGTGGTGGTGAGGATGTAACTTGACGGGACAGTGAGACTGGACTGGGGTAGAAGTTCAGCAGTTTTCTCTTTTTCCTCTCCGCGAGAGAACTTTCCCTGCCGCCTGTACGAGCTTATCGGACTTCTGGCGTGGTTATCCATATGGAGGAGCAGAGACTGGTGGAAGGAATGGGGAAAAGAAAGCTAGGAAAGAAAGGATCGATCCAATCTGCAGTATAAAACCACCACCGTGACCACATTTCCATCACATTTCTCCCCATATGTTACTTTATCTGGGAGATAACTCATCATTGACTCCATGTCAAGAGGATGTTGTGTCTCCGCTGTCTCAGATTTTCCAGGAATAAAAACCAGAAATAAACGAGAAAGTAGTGGGAGGGAAAGTCCCCAATTTTGGATGATCATAGTAGGGATGAAAAAAATTGCATATTTAGGTATGCAATAGAGTATAAAATTTTATATAAAGTGCCGTTAAATGAGTGATGTGAGATTTTTTTATACTGAGAATCAGGAATTTTGGATAATTTTTTCCAGTTTTGCAGCCCTTAAGATTACGCAATAAAAGGGAAAGTTCTCACATATTCCAACATCCCGGAAGAAAGTCGTCTCTCAATCTCTCCTCCGCTTCACGGTATTAAAACCAGTGGCTCCTCTCTACCACATCTTCGTACAGCTTGGGTTTTGTACTGCCAGTTTCATCTCTGAACTGGCAGATGGAATTCGTAGAGTTTGCAATACAAATACGAGGCCGAGTTTGGAGGGGTGAGGTCGCTATTTTTTAACAAGTGAGATGAGACGATCTGCACTATGCGAGCATCTCAATTTCGCACATAATTTCAACACCACCAGACCCGGCGAATTGACGCCACAATATAGCATTCCATGCCACCAGACACCGACACCAAGGAATATATGGAGCTATACAGAGATGTGCGCCACATTATTCAATCTCGTGAGAGAGCTTTTTCCTTTTACATGCAAATTACTCTTGAAGGTAAAAATAAATAATGTATTTCTTCTTCGCTCGTCGTCGTCGTCTTCTTTTTCTTTTAAGAAGATCTGCTCGTACTTTGAAACAATTGCAGACCCAGAATTGCACACCATATGCCATCACTCACTACCACTAATACAAAACATGACATTGACTGTACATACTGTATCACGCAGGATTTTTTCTTCCAAATGTGTGAATTAATAGATACACACGCCACTCTGTAATTTGAAAAGAAAGCGAGTAGACAATGTTATCACAAATAACTAATTTTAACCGGATCCAACCCATTCGATCGGTATCGCATTCGTAAAAATAGCAATTTTTCACAAAATATTCTGCACACACCCCTCCACAAATTTCAAAGAATTTTATTGTTTGCATAATAAATCACGCACATTATGCATAAATACTTCAAGCCAATCAATAATTAGTTTTATTACTGGAATAAAATTGCATGGTAAAATCTGATAAAGCGTCATCATTTGTACCGACTCACCGTTGTCAATTTGGATGGATGGATATGGAAAAGTATAAAGTTTACCTGTTCACACAGCTGCAAACAAAGTTAAGCTCTATCTCTCAAAGCAAAACCATTATACTAATGGTCCTCCCATCCATTCTGCGAGATAATATTTTACTTAATACGTTTAGTTAGGTTAGGTGTGGTTGGTTGATGAGATGCTAATGCAATGATGAACCCTCCACCACCACTGATTTGTTACACATTTTATCTACAATTCTAATGAGAGCTAATTTCACAATTTTTCCACTACCTCGGTCCGTACTTACACATCAAACCCATCCATCAGGCTGTCATATGATGAAATTATGCCCAGTGCTAAAATTTCCTACACTTTTTCCGTAACCCTGCAAAAATTCGGATGATTCATTTAGCTGGAAATTTCATGTCGTATGAAAATGAGTCACCCAACGCAGCCTCACTCGCTCCTCACCCAGTTCCTGCTCTTCCGTTGTTACTGTTTTCATGAATTTTATGTCATAACAATACGAAGAATTCACCCCAGTTGGTCCAAGCTACGTCACAAACTGTATAATTATTTTTATCATGACAATAATAATCGGTCAAATATTTACAATATTGTCAAACTGACAAAAGTCGAGGTTCGCAGCTTGATTCGACCTCGTCATCATATATCTGAGCAATTATGTGTACCATTAAATATCCTGCATTTCTTCGCTCTCCACTTACCATTAGTAAGTTACTTACTGCATAAATACTGCAGTAGTGCTGAGATTTAAGTAAACTATGTGTAAGTACAACTTATGAGTGATATAATAATGTCAATGAGTGGCATGCCCTGCTCACTCATGTTATTTAGTTAGTCAGTCAGTTAAACTGTGGAACAATACGGCATAAAACTTAACCGAACACAATATTTAATAATGCAATATACGTCCATACACACATCGACTTCCAGAAGTCAGGTAGGCATTTATTTTAATGTCAATAGTTTACCTTTCTTATTATTACGAGTCCTTGTCACTGAGCATTAAAGGGTCGTCCACATATGAGGGTGCAGTTTATTTATGGTGGCAATCCGACCACAACGGCATGACGGACCCCCAAATAATCCATCCCCACGACCAGCCAACCAACGATATTTAGCACATTAAAATAAATCAATGTGGAAATACGTAGTGCTGCTCTTGTCCCAATCAATCCATTCATATTGAAATTTTAGAAAAAGTAATTCAATTTAATCCCGAACCACTTATGCCACCATGGTTTGGTTGTGCACATGCATAAGTAATATGTTATGTGGAACTGCTCTCTCTCTCTCTCTGCAGTTTTTAATGGTACAAGGATACTCTTTTGCATACAGCTTTCATACACTTTATTATATTGTACTTAAATAATACACATAGTGTAGTATTGTATTTTGCTATTATTTATGGTCATATGTCAGGCGTTACGTATGTCGACCGTACATTCTGCTTCTGAAATTCTGTTCCATATGCACCTTTTTAAGCAGACGACGAGGTGCAGTCTGTCAATATTGGAGGATCAGGCAGGAGGAAAAAGATGAGCATAAAGTGGACAATATGTTTAAAAACGGTTGGGTCTGTGTGACCTACACGACATCACACAAGCTGGATTTTAGAGGATAATCATAATGAAATGAACGGATAAGGCTGACCAGTTAAACTACGTACACGCACATAGAATGCGGAAAAAGGTGAAAAGTTCAATATGCAGGTGGAAAAAGGTGGTGTTTTTCTTGGAAATTGAAACTTAAATAAATACTCACCAATTATAAAAATTAGGCCAACTCACATTTAGTATCAAATTTGTTTAGTAAATGAGAAAATCAAATTCATGAAACATTTAATCATTTTCAGTTTTTCATTTTTTTCAATAAATTTCTGGTAAAAGTTTTTTCGGACCGCACCCTCTCAACCACATCTAAAATAAACTCACTTCATACTCATCGAACTTAATGGTCATTTTGCATAGCACAATTTTAATCGTTTTTCATAAAAACCGACACCCGGACGACTTCCTCTATGAGCAGCCCCTCCGCCCCGTCTTCTTACCTGCCTCGTCTCTCCATCTCACTTTGCACCATGTCTGGCATACTAAAGTTTTTCGCCCTCTGAAACCCAACAGTTTGGTATGGATTTTGGCTGGTTTTTGTGGCTGTGAGGATAAAGTGAGTGGGCTGGGCGGTGGTTTGGAGAGGCGCAGTTGGCACAGCAGCAGCAGGAGGAGTAGAAGAATTTTCAGTAGTCATCAGCAGACGAGAGATTCAGCAGCAGAACAAACCAGAAACCTATCTGAGAAAAATATCCTCCCACCTTCGCCTTCTTTTCCTTATCTTTGTCGTCATAGCGTGACCTCTGACCTGACCTGCCGAGCTGCCCGTCACAGGAAGAATCTAGTCAATCTAATTGTAGGAAGGAAGTCCATCGGAGACTCATATCACCACCACCGCAGAACACCCACCAGAAGACAAGATGAATAACGAGAGCCCAATTTACGGACCCTTCTTCGGAGTTATGGGTGCGGCCTCGGCCATGATATTCTCGGGTAAGTGGTTATCTTCTCTAAGGTCGCTAGTTTTTGAGGGTTTGGAGGCTAGGGAAGGTGAAATAGTGAGGGAACGAGTGTTGACAGCAGGGTAGAAAACAGGTGGGGCGGTGTCGAGTGCAAAAAACCCCAATCTGTCAGCTAATCGTTAGGGGGGATTTGTTTGTTTTGTTGTGTTTATGTGGTGATTATGAGGTAATAAATACGTTGTGGGGGTAGCTTTGCCATTTTATAGGGAGGGAAATGAGTAGTATATTTAAGAATAAGGTGTGGTTAAGTGTGAAATATGCACATGTGTTGTGACTAATTAGTAAAATTTTGATATTTTTATTAATTTCAGCCCTCGGAGCAGCATACGGCACAGCCAAGTCGGGCACAGGGATTGCAGCAATGTCCGTAATGAGGCCGGAACTCATCATGAAAAGTATCATTCCAGTTGTAATGGCAGGTATCATCGCTATTTACGGTCTGGTCGTGGCCGTACTTATAGCTGGTGCACTCAAGGCCCCATCCGCTGGCTACACAGCGTTTCAGTAAGTGTTCCCACTCTAAAGTTTGTGTAATTGTCGTCAGTATGCGATTTACGTGTGCTGATTGATTTATGATGATGATTTCCGAGTACACATGATTCCGGATGTGAACTAATTACATGCATCTCTTAATTATTTGCAGAGGATTTCTACATCTTGGTGCTGGACTTGCTGTCGGACTGAGTGGATTAGCAGCAGGGTTTGCAATTGGAATCGTTGGAGATGCTGGAGTCCGTGGAACTGCCCAACAACCACGCCTCTTCGTTGGAATGATCTTGATTCTCATCTTTGCAGAAGTGTTGGGTCTCTATGGTCTTATTGTGGCTATTTACTTGTACACAAAAGTCTAAAAAAATCAAGATTATTCTCATCATCGGAATGTACAACTTGTTGTCCTGTTTGTAGTAGTTGTAGAAGACGTTCCTCGTGTCAAGTACGTAGACTTTTAGTAAAACAAGCAAGAATCAATTAAAGAAAGAAAGAGAGAGTAAGTGTGCGGTCGTATAAAACAGTCAAAACATAATATACACATACCATTAAATTAAACTACCTTAATTCTCTACATACATATACATGATGATGTATTAATGTAATGAAATATGATCTTTGGTAAATATGATTGAGAAGATGATGATGATGATGATAAATGTCTTGTAAAAAATATACAATTAATTTTTTCCAAAGCCAAAAAAAATATACCCCTTTTTGTGCGTAGTCTCCCCGCATTATTATTATGTAGTTTTTGAGGATTGTATATGTTACTTATTAATGAGCGGATTTTTACTTATTTGTCGCTCTTTTCCATGTAATTCAAACGTGAATATATTTTGTTCATACGAAAAAATTTAGTGGGTCGCATAATTGTTGTCTTCTAAATACTTGACTGATTTCCTTGAATCCGATATTTAACACCATTGCAGAATTTTATCCGTCTTTAAGTTTATGCACATAAATAACTCGTTGCTGTCATACTTTAGTTGATCCTTTCCATTTGTAATATTTTCCTGCAAATATTTCCAAGTTTTTCAACTCAACAATTATCATAACTTTATATTCATCTAAAACATGTGGATTATTACAATTGTCACAATCCGAAATGTCATTTGTTCACCAATATCCGTCTCTTTCTTCCAAATAAGACGCCGTGCCGTTGATATGACCATGCACCTCGCTCGATGTCGAACTGTACATACTTATACCCGGGTAGTAGTTTTAGTTCCAGGCTTTTTTTGTGGAGACGGGGAGAACATTTCGGTTCCATTTCCATTGCAGGCTGAATCCAGCAAGTGCCATGCATGCGAGAGGGAGAGAGAAAGCGAGAAAGCAAACAAGCATTTATTTCGTGCAAGGCAAGATTGCTCTGACTCCTTGGCCGGGGTCGATTCGATTCTATCTAATCAGCACCAGCTTCTTCTCCTCTCTGGCCATGCACGTACCCCTGCTACACCTCCATAAAAGTGGGACTGGAAGGCAGTCACGGAGCTCTTTGAAGTAAGTAGGATGGCAATGTGTCGTCCTCCTTTCTTATCCTGGAGATGGGATGAGAGAAGCTTTATCCAACCGAGAAGAACAATGTTCAAAATAATGTCGTGCCTACCTCGGCTGATTTTCATTGCATGTTTTGATGGATGAACGGTGTATAATAAGGTGGTGTAAGTATGCATGCATATAACTTTCTCCTCCATGTTTTGTCACCCTTGCAATTATTTTGCTACGCTGCCTCCTATACAATTAGTTTACACGGACAAAACCAATAGGTTAAAAGTGTCACGATGAATACGAAACTATAATTATAGGTATTTTCTCTTTTTCTGCGATTAATTGGCGTGATTCATGATATGACCAAAACTTGAGGGGCATGAATATGAATATGTATCGACAAAGCAAGTATATGGAATCACACCCTCTGAAATAATATGTACAAAAGTGTGTGTATAAGAAATCAAAATTCCTCCCCGATTACCCAAAAAGGTATGTAAGTTTGAGACGCATGCATTTCTATGATCATTGGTCGGTCGGTCAAACCCCTACACACACAAACACACACAAAGTAAGCACTGACTAATAGTTTCTGCTGCTTTTTATAATGTGCTACGTATGCATATGATGTGATGATGGGAATGCCCTTCATCTAATAAGAAATGACTTAAGGGCATGGATCTCATCTCCTCTTTGCCTGCCTGCCTGGATGGTTTAGTTGTTTGGCTGCTGAGATGTTTGTAACATTTTCAAGCCGAGTTCACTTCAGCTGCCCTATCATCATCCTTATCATCATCATAATATCCTTATTTCGTTATGTCCTTCCATCTCCAGCGCACAACAAGCACTTGGCTGGATTGTCTGGTCAGGAATAAAAAGGGACTCAATATTTTGACTCACTTCACTACTGAGAAATTATCACCACAAGGAAAACTGGCTAAACCAACCAACCCACCAGATCTACCAATACGACCCACCCACCCACCACCGCACCCCACCAACAACCATCCCAGGAAAAAGGTTCACATCACTCAACTCTGGATTTATTCACAAAAAGGTTAGAAATGCAAGTGTACTTATGTGTGCATCGAGAGTTCTCATGAAGAAGATGGTGATACGACTACGATGATGATGATGATGAGATTGAGAGATGATTCCATTTCCATGAGAGAATGGGGACTTGGATGACACTGCCAGCCGACCAATAATAAGTTAAGTGTGCATACATGGATCTGGTACATATTTTCCACTAACTGCTACTGGACCGGACCGGACTGGATGGATGGATGGATATTATTGCTTTGGGAAGGATGCTGAAAAACACAAAATGTTTCCAAACATACAGGACAAAAATATGAGGGGACGAAATATCAGTCCATTCACAACTGCATTCTTGGGATAAATGGGGGTCGTTTTACAACTCCGACCTTTCTTTATATTCAAGATTTTTAATCTGTGTCATATTCTTCGCTGGTCGTCGTCGTCATGTTCAAGTAAAAATTGGACACTTTACGGGAGACTGGAGATTGTATAGTTAAATGGTTTATAACTTGTGTCACCAAAGGTAGTAGAGCATTACAGTTGAACTAGATCAGTGTACGTATGGGATGATTTTGGACGGACACTTGAATAAAGATATGCAATACAATGTGCAATATGCGTAATGGGAGTAAAGAAGGAGAGAAGAATGATATGCTCTTCTTGTCACCTTCAATATTAAACAGTCGTATGCAATCTGACTACTTACTGGATTTGTCTAATTCTAAATAATCCATACTCATATGAGTACTTGAAATTTAGCATATCATTTTTAGTTTGACAATTTCATGACATTATTTAACACTATTTACTTGTTACGTCCTAATCATGAAAATCGATAGATCTCCAATAAACAATAAAATCATCATAAAATATTGACAATTCTCTGAATTCTCTGAATCTGGCAATAAAAAGGTTTGTTTTTCTCCAAATTCTTCACTTTATTGCTCTTGTTGCACTTGCATTGTTACGAGATTGGCATTGTCAAGCACTAATAAGTCCCACTTGCTCTCGACTCCAGGGTCGACATGCAGGATGGAAAAATGAGGATCACATCACAATCGACGGTCCATTTTTTCTCAGAAATGTTGCATTAAATAAATAATATTTCGTTCAAACTGCCCGTTAACTCACCCCAATATCCCCGATGCAATATATGGATGAATGTTGAGAATATTGGCCCAACTCTACTATTTTTTAGAGAATTTCCTTATCTAATCTCTATTTTTTAGTTATGCATCCCAGCCACCCTTGCTCGACTACGAGAGGAATCAATTAAGAAAAGCTAAAAGCTGTGCACAAAGGACAACACAGTTTTCGTGGTGTCAACTGCTCTATGAAATGATGTCGCCTTGGTCGTCCTATCGTGATTCTAGAAAATGAAACTAAAACTAAAAACCGGGTCTTTCCTCATTACATTACACATTATGGATATTCATCTCATTCCACCGAGCAGCGACATATATATTATCGCTTCTTATCTTTCTTCTTGCTGGGTTCTCATTTTTTTCCTCTGATTCCATCCATCCAGTAGTGCATACTGCATATGTACCACTTCTTGTTCTCGTTGGAAATGAAATGGTATCGTATTTCTCTCTTTTTTTGTCAGCCAGTCATTATTATTCCTTCCTACACAATATAACCGAGACAGTCACTGCAGTAGTGACAGACTAGCTGGAAAATGAATCAGTTTGCAGTTTACTGGCTAGAGAACGAGAAGAAGAAGAATAATATATGTTATAAGGAGTGAGCCACAAATTTTAATGAGATATAGCGGCTCCAGCTCGTTCCTCATTATTATTATTATTATATTTACTTGTGACTAATAACCAAAACTTTGCGAATTTCATTGTTCCCCAAGTGCAAATTGTATGCAGGACGGTTAATTAAGGTAGGAATGGCGACGAAGAGGACGACGACATTGGCTGGCTGGTTGGCGTGGGGCACATGCATATGTTTACGAACATGTGATAAAATTTGAGCTGATCGAGTTACACTGGAGGATTTTTTATTGTTTTCCTCCTTCCAGTCTAAAAATGCTTCCTTATTAAATATAATAACTGTTATGCAAACCATTAACCGACCTTTAGCCCCTCACTTTAGAATTGGCTGCGAGTGAGTTGTCAGAAAATCTATGCAGACGTGTTGTTCTGACAAGTCTGGAGGATCAAATTACATCCCAGGACTCGGGATCGGGAAGGAAAATATTTTCCTGATAAATAATATCAGTTCAGTGACAAAAATAATGAATTTACAGAAAAATATAATTAAATTTGTTCCTATACAAAAGATGCATGTACAGGTGGCAGGCGTTGATAAATTTGTTGAATAATTCAATATTTTATGAGTTTAACTTTCTCCTTAGCATTTGAATATGTAACAGGGATCGAATCTAAATAATCCTCTTTAGCTGTCACCTCCACTCGGAGAAAGTTTTGATGGAATTTTTCATTGCCTTGTATTTTGTAATGAATCTCTCTCTCTCTCTCACTTTCTCTCTGCTCATGCACCAATACGTTTCTGTCACCCCGTAAGAAGCATGTCAACATTATCCTAATCGTAACAGATATTTGGTCCACGTATACTTTTCACCTTCTCGTTTTACATTATTTTCCAGCATCACTGCAGAATTAATTCAATTCCTTCACACATCATGTTCAGAAATGAAATGCTGTTAAACTTGGTGACAATCCATGCATTCAGTTTATGCTAAGCAACAGCAACATGCATCTCATCTTCACCTCACAACATACACGAGTAGATTTTCACACCCAACAACCTACTCTGCCTGCCCACCACACATTACGAACCAACAAGAACCCGGTGTAAGCAAGAAATACACGTTCAATCCATCCACTTGCTCGTCGTCGTAGTCGTCGTTGTCGTTCTCATCTCCAATTCTTGTACTTCTACTATGAACGAGCAGAGTGGAGAACGCGGGGCCTGAAAGCCACGGTTTTTCCAATCGCGAGCCCTTTCTCTCTGCGTTTTCCAGCTTAACTTTCACTCATCCGACTTTCACCCAACTTTTTATCATCCTCGTCCTCTCTCTTCTGTCGCCCGCTCGCCGCCACCGCCGCCGCTGCTGCCGCCATGTCTCTTACCATTATTATTGGCCTAAATTACATTCTTATTCTCTTTTTCGTGCTGCTGCTGCTGCTCGTTGAAAACCTGATCAGCCTTCTTAAAGTCAGTCAAGTCTTTGTTAAATTAGGTCTGATGATAATAGACTTCTCCTGCTGCGCATAACACCAAAAGACAGAAAGAGACGACGACCACCACGACGACGACGACGACGACAAGGACGAGAGAAACTAATAAGTTGGAATTCTAATAAGCAAAACTCTATTCCGTTCTATTATTTCGCCTTTTCCTTTTCCCATGCTCATCTGAATTCATCCTTGTAGGCTAATTGGATATTGGATCTTGCATGCATGCTATCAATCCATCCATCCAGTCAGCTAGATAGCTAGCTATATATATAATTGTGGGTATGATGAAGATGCTCGTCGGAACGGAAAAATGGATTGACTTTCACTGTAACGAATAATCAATTGGAGCCCATATTTTTTATAATTTTTTCATGTTTGCGAAAAATATCTGTATGTTTTTTAGGATATGCATAAATATTAGTTATGCTTAAGTATTTCAGCAAATGTACGAATTTAGAGGGAAACAATACTTTTATTTTATTTTTCCCTTCATGCGATGACTTGTTCCTCTCTTTCTCTCTCATTTATTTATTATGTTGGGAGAGAGGAAGGAAAGTGAGAAGAGGAGGACGCCCCGAAAGAGAAAGTTGAGTGGATGTGCTCCCAGCCTGCACATTGATTGCTCTCTCTCTCTCTCTCACTCGGTCTCTCTCTCTCTCCTGTCCGGGTAGCTGGCTGTAGCTGGCTATTGATCCGACAAATCAATGTGAGACTATTATTACGCTCCGAATCCGGGTAACTTCCACGCAACCTCAAGTCGACCAACAATCTGGACAGATTTCTACCCTCTACAAGAGGAGGAGGAGGAGGAGAAGAAGAAGAAGAAGAAGAAGTGTATAACCTGTTTGTTTCTCTGCATGTTTCCATTCCACCACCTTTCTCCACCACCACCACCACGACCACCACCACCACGACCACCACCACCACGACCACCGCTAGACCACCGCATATCATCACCACCACCACGGCCAGAACCGACCGGTAGAATAGTGGAAGAGACAAGAAGAAAGCACATGTAGACACAATTGGAGAGAGAGAGAGGATCAAGAGGAGAGTGGAAGTAAGATCAGGATCAGAGGGAGGATGTTGCTGCTGCTGGTGAAAGTCGTGAAAGCAGCAGCTTTTCGCATTTATTTTTACTTCTCGTTCCTCCTCACCTTCTTTTCAGCCTCCTCCTGCAAATTAGATGGGTTCGGCTTCAAAAGAGAGAGAGAGAGATGGGAATTAGGTCCACTTTTCGCCCTCCTCCTCATTATGCCACCACTACTGCCACTTCACTCTCCAGCACTTGAATCCTCTCAGGCACATGCACAACACAAGCCAAATTAAGATCGACTTAATTTGTCACGTACCTCGGAAGCATGATGGCGGATGGATGGATGGAGTGATGGGTGACAAGAAATAAGCAGTAACAAATGTATGAATCATCTATTTGCACAGGTTTTTCATACGCGTGAAATTAGACACGAACGAAATGTGTACTGGAACGTACACATTTCACATGCTTGCATAGGTTCATGAACAGAGTTTTGAGACGACCGTGTGCAGCCAATTATTTGTTGAACTATGGGGAAAAATCAATGTACTGCTGCTCCGAGACAAATAATGATACGAAACATGTAATTATATAGTTTTAGACTTTGACAAAATTGATGGAGACATGCCAGCCAATTAAGTTTGGGTATTTATTTATTTACTTATTTATCCCAAGATATGGTATGCATTGTTTTATCTTTGGTTGTACCCTTAAGGAAAAAAATATGCTGAATAATAAAATACATAAAAATCCTGCACAGAAATGAGAGGAAAATCACTTTCTAATCACTTTTATCAAAATGAAATCAACTTTCCATCAATTTCTTTCTTCTTTTTCTTCTCCCACGGTGAAAAGAAGGTGACATCCGAATGCACTTTCACCTCACCTCGCACCAAAAAGAAAAAATCCACCATCATCATCCCGACTTTCACTCAACCTTCATCCTCCTCTCTCTCTCTCTCTTTCTTGTCTCCAAACTCATTTTGCACACCCCCGGAAATTTGAGCCGATTTGTGTTTGTATTTCAAAAAAGCTCACTTTTCTGGGCTGGAAACTAATCAAAAATTTGATACCCTGTTTGATACTGCTTTTACTTTACTTTACACACCCACATTATTACTTTCTCTATCCTTACTCCAAGAACCGTTCGGATCGCATCTTCTTCTCCTTCGTGTGTCATTCATATCGACGTCATCGTCATCATGAGAATGAAACGTGGCCCTCCTGGAATCATGGAACGGTAACAGCACGTTCCCCATATTATTTATTGGTGACGCACGCACACATGCACGTAAATAATATACACATAAACAACCCTCCTCCTTCTCATTATTATTGCAAAATAGTTAGTCCTCCTCATTGTGACACATTATTATGCACAGCAATTTAACCCTTTAATAACATGGGTGGTTAGTTTGTCACTTAATAAATGGGATGACTAATAGAAAGAAACGTTGTCTCCTGCCCAACTCTTTGCATGATCGTTTATACGTATTTACAAGTAGGTGCATATGAACATGAAGTCGATATTTATTTAGCCCCGAATATCGCATTGTTTGTTATATAGGGCTCCTCCGCATGAATGGAGTTGAAAATAATGAGAGGTGTGGGACATTATTATTGTGCATTTGTACAGTTTGCCAAAGTGTCAAACAATTATGAGGACGACGACGACGATCATGTTGCCATATTCATGCGTACAAGATGAAAATGTAGCAAAAAGCGAGCTTCTTCTTATATATCTGTAACGGTTGTCTCATGTCCGATCCTCCACCATTCTCATCACGAGTGTATCACCACCACCACGAGCACTAGATCTGCAGTGGAAACAACAAAACGTTATTTTTTAAGGATGGATGGATGGACCGGTGGATGGATTGGATTGGATTTTTCATATTACATATTGGTGTGGGGCCACAGGTAGTGACGATGGAGTGCATTCAAGGAGGAGTAGAATAATGGTGCTCTCTTCTTCTTCTTCTGGGTGCATCCGTGGTGGTTTAGTTAAAAAGAGAGTCACTCACCTACGACTACGACGACTACCTCTCCGCGCGCCCGTGCTTACGACGAGGACGAGGAGGAAGTAGGAGAGAAAGACGGACGGACCGACGGACTAAAAACCCCAACCAACAAACATATTTACAAGACACGAGGATACGTCTCGCGGGGTGTGCACAGAAGAACCGGAAGCTCTTGATAAGGAGAGACGTGCTGCTCTTGGATGGGGATTCGGAAGTTGTTGTTCGCAATGGACGCTCCTCTCTCTCCTCATCTCCGTGTTCCTTTCCTGTTGAAGGAGACAAATCTCGGTGGGTCGTCGTCGTCGGTGGTGATGGTGGTGGTGGGTGAGCACAGGGAAGACGGAACAAAAGTCTGAAATGAACAGTGTCCGTCCTGCGAGCAAGGACGGCAGGCAAGGAGCAGCATTTTATAGAGAGCGAGCCAGCGAGCGAGCGAGTACAGTTCAACAAGAGGCAGCAGGCCAGGCCATGAGAATCAGAGAATGAGAACTCGACGACGACAACGAGGAGGAACACGGCTCATGTAGAAAGCGAGGATGTCTGTCTGTCCCTCCGGCGAGATGTGATGATTTTGATGCTAAAGGATTTAAAAATTACATTGACTAATAAATAATTTGTAAAAATTGCGCACCATTTTGTAAAATGAAATCATGCATTATTATTGTTAGTAATAAATAATAAATAAATAATCATTGTGCGAATCCTCCCGAAACTGGATACGTGCGAAGACGCAATAATAACACTAATAATAATTCGAGGGTTGACTTACTTTCAGTTTTATTCTGTTAATCCGACCGTTGTTTGTTGTAGTAGTGAGTAGTAGGCAGTCGGAACAAGTCCCATTCACAACATAATGTTCACATAAGGCATCCCTCCCTCGTACGTAGCCCTTAATATGAAGAGTATATAGGCCGTATCAGTAATGTAATAATATCCCATATTTACATACATTTTTATTATTTACTACTACAGTCCTCCGTAAGTGAGTAAGGGTCCCCCTCTCCTATACCCTTTCGGTGCCGCAGCATAAAAACCAGCCACAAATAGGACGATATAATAATAAAAGGGTCCAGGCTGAAAGTGGCAGTTACTTAGATTACCAAGTCCCTTCCTATAATATAACGTGGGAGCACCCCTGAGCTTAACGGGCCTTCTGCCCGTACTTTTTCCACGTCCACCTAGGCGGAGCAATACTTAGCAGAGTGGTATTGGTGATGTTTCTCTGATGGTGGTGGTGGTGTAACCCATGATGGCATACCGTAGCAGCCAGCAGCAGCACACACACACCAGTCTCAAATCAGTCTTTCCTCGTTCTTTTAACAACAGGCAACAGTAGTAGAAGTAAGAGAAGTGAGTTTGCATTACAGACTTCTTTATACGTTAATACCACCAACATACATAAGCAGCGAGTGAGAGAGAGAGAGAATCCATACCAATAATACTACACTTTAGCAAACACCAATGCATATTATTATTATTGTTATGTTACTTTACATTTAATACACTGGTTTGTTCCTACATACGACGACTACATACATTCATCTCCTCTCTTCTACATAATATTCCTACTTTACACAAAAGTTGCAACTGCATTTATTTGTCTCATTATTTATTTACTCTGATTGAGCAAACCTGCAAAAGCGAGCCAGCAGAGCCACGGCCACAGTTCAGTAAGATTTGGCTTAACACTTTATAAAATAATAATAATGTAATACGTACGTACTATTGCCAGCCACGTTATTATTATTATTCACACAATAATATTTCAAGTCTCGTCGTCGTCGTCGCAGTCGTCGTTTTATTTAACGTACCTATTCTCTGCTACAAAGTACAATTAAGCAGCGAGCGAGCAAAACTTTAAAAACAAAACAAACCCATTAATACGATTTCATCAATCTCAACCTCAAAGCAGTAGACACATTATTATTAGTATTGCTATTGTTACTAATACTACAATAAGTAACGTAGCAAAAGGTGTAACAAATATTTTTACCAGTCCAAATAATTGTGGATTGTCTTGAAATAATAAATTGTCCAACAACTTGCAATATCTTTTTACCAAGGAGGATTTATAAATAATAATTTGCGGAGCAGGAGAGAAAGCATAAAAAGTGTTGTTGTTTATAAATAAATATATATTTGAAAAAGTGAGCAAAAGTGTGTGTCGTGTGCTGAAAAATAATAGCAAATAATAAATACGACGTTGATAATAATAAATAACTCTGTTTTTAAGTGCGGCTACAGTTAAGCGAGCTCATAATACAGAGATATATTATTGCATGGATTTGATGATCCTCGGACTACTCGGTTTTAGTTTTCCGTTTTAACAACAAGTTACCCTGACTGAACTCGACTCACTATTTGGATTGGATTGGATTGGATGAACTAAACTAAATCGAGAGTAAGTAAAGTGTAGTTAAAAGTTAAAAGTTGATAAGTTTTTTTTTTGCAAACGGGGCAAAATCACTTGGTGTTGTGGATCATGATGATCACATCATCATGCATGGTTCGATTCGTGTTTAGTTTGTATTATTAATGGGTGAGGGTTATGTTGTATGTGATTGATGATTAGTTTGGTGGTGGGACGACAAACGGTGAGTTAGTTAGTTAGTAAAAAGGGTGAACGATTTATTAACCACCAACCAACCAACATTAAGCGTATTAATAAAGTAATAATATGCATAATGTAGGATAGTGATGCGAATGAATTTTATTTATATAAGTGAACATTGGGATTATATTTGATAATTAGTAGATAGCAACACCAAAAATGGACGAAGGTGACGATCATCATCGGAGAGAAATATGTCATTGTTTTGAGCGAGATTTTTTTCCATAGGAATGGAGGATTCACTACGTTGATAAAACCAAGACAAGCGATTAGAATTGCAAATTCAATTTCATTCCGAGGAATAATTTGTGCGGATTTTATTTTGTAAGTTGAATAGAATTGGTTGGCTGGCTGGTTGGTTGGTAGAAAGTTGACCATGACGATTTGTTGAGTTGTTGAGGAATGTCATTCAATACGTCCTTCGATCGCGATCGTGGCTTTTGAGCAGCGTGTGTGTAATATATGTGTTCTTGTTATTGTTATATTGAGCGAGAACATAAGAGTTGAGCAGCAGTTTTTTTGCAAATTATAACTAATGGAATTGTATTACATTTTTACAGAAATTCTGAAACCATGAACGAGTAACGCATGTTGCTCTCCACCGACGCCGCGTCGCCACACTACTGCACCGTCGTAGCAGGAGCAGGCTTGGGCTGAAACGAGATGACGACGAAGACGTTTGGTTGTGACGAGGAAGTCCGCTAAGTCGCCATGAGTGACGTAGCCGCCCCACCCAAGGGCCAAATGGTCTTGGACCGACTAAAGAAGCGGTTGGAGGGTTACCGCAACCACCATGATGAAGTCAAACCTCGCTTTGAACAGACGATAAATGGAGTCAATGACGAGCAAAAGCAACAAACCCTCCTCCTACAGAAACGTTTTGTGGAGTCAAAGACGAAAAAGCTGCAAAAGAAGGGGGATAAAAAGGGGAACCAGGATTCTGGCAGTGTAAGAATAATATGTGGATAATAAATTTAATAATTATTTATATTCATTGTCGAAAATCAAATTGGTGGCTCACTTTGTTTCATGTGTGTGTGTGTATTTTATGCCATGTTCTAATTTATTTGTTCTAGAGCGGTTCAAAATCTCACAAACGCGTTGCGGAGGACTCGTCAGCAGATCATAATAACACGGATGGCTGTTACGAACCTCCCAAGAAATTATCCAACTCCTCCCCAGCCTCTTCCGGTTCAGGATTTTCATCCAATAAAGCTCCTTCCAGATCTAAAATGAAGTTCCACCCACCCGATTCTGCCCGTAGTGGTGGACCGAAGAACGGTCTGCCACAACAGCAACAGCCTCCGCTCCCTCTACCACCCCACCAGCTCATGGGGAATCAGCAGCAGCAGTTGCAACAACAACAACAGCAACAACATCCTATTAATCCTCCCAATTCTTTAATCCCCAATAATATGCACCCACCTCCACATCACCATTATCAGCAACAGCAGCAGCAACACCAACAACTCAACCACAACCATCACCTAATAGAGTCCTTTAAGCAGGAGACCGTGTCTTCCTCCTCCGGCTATGTAGACTTGGACCAGTGTGCCCGTGCCCTTGAGAAAGACGGTCCTGACTTAATCAACTCTGACTTTGAAACATTAAACGACCTCATTTCTGAAATCTCCGATTTGTCGTCGGCAGACTTTATGAAAGACTTTGATTTTGATGTGGACGTAACAAATGCAGATAACAAAAGTGATAGTTTACTCGGTGGTGGTGGCGGTTCTGCGAATAGTACAAATCCATTAATGGGTGGAGGTGATAGTCATCCCGGTCTTACACCCATTACTCCAAATACAAATTCCTCCTCCATGATGCACCACACCCATTCAGGTGTCAAAATGGAAACTGGTGGTGGTCACATGGTGGGGATGATGGCCGGGCATCCACAACAACAGCAATGTGCCGGACCATCCCCAGCTCCAGCCACGACGGCCTCGCCACTTGCCTCCCAACTAGCCAATAATAATAATAACAACCAAACGGGATCAACACCACCTTATCTTTTCGACCCGAGTGGTTCACCTTCCGCTGCCTCTCAGGTTCCTAAAGGGGGTCGTGTTCAACCTTCCTTGGCCGGTTCCTCCCTCCCGATCGACTCACCTGCTGCCCAAACCCTGAAGCAGATGGCGGAACAGCATCAACACAAACAGCAAATGGGTGGTGGGACGCCAAACTCTTTCAGTAAAAATGCCTCCCCGGCAAGATCTCCCTTTAATGAGTACGGCGGTGGTGGAAACAACAACGACTATATGGGTGCTAGCAGTGGTCCAGGTTCCAATCAGGGTGTTGGTAGTGGTGGTGGTGGTGGGTTCTCTCAAGGGGGTGTGAATGTAAAGCAGGAAGTTTACTCACCCACCAACCAGACCAGCTTCTCTCCAGGATTCATGGATGTCAACCATGTGGGGGCGAATAAAGGTCCTCAACAGCAGCAGCAGCAACAACAACAACAGCAGCAGCAACAACAACAACAACAGCAGCAGCAAAGAGGGCCCCCTCCACCTCAACAACAGATGAGTCACGGTGGAAGGATGGGACAGCAACAGCAGCAAGTGTTATCTCCCGTCCCCAAGTCTTTCAATCCTGGAATGGAGCCTCAACTTATGCCTGGACAATCCTTCATCCCCAATAACAGACCGCCCAATAACACCGTCAATTTGAACAGTAATTCCAATCCAAATAATCCATCCAGTGGGTATTCGCCCTATCCGGGTGGGGGACCAGGACCAGGCGGCGGCGGCGCACCCAGTATGATACCCAATCCGAATCAGCAACAACAAGTATGAATAAACCATAATCAGTCCCTCCCACAAATATATGTATAAAGAAGTAGCGTCAAAGCTTTTAAAATTTCCTGACACCATGCATGACACCATATGACAATTATGTACTTTTCGACCTTTGACCTCGTCCTCGCAGTCATGGGTTGGTAGGAAGGAGGTCAAAGATATTTTGACTGCGTTGAATTCGTGGTGAAATTTCCTTTAAAATGACACCACATATGAAAATTAGGGTCCAGTTTGACGTTTGACCTCATGATAGGGCCACCTTGACTGCAGGGATCCCATTTTCGAACTCGACCGAGAGCAAAATAAATTAGAAGCACAATGGCGAAAAAGGCAATTGATTATGTTGAGGCGTTCTGGAGATATTCTTTTTACAGACAGACAGACCGACGGACAGACAAAACGATAACTAACATAAAGCAACTGACGCTACTTAATAATTGATCATGTTTTAGCCAAATGCAGTTTTATTAAATGACTATATAACTATTTTCAGATGGCCGGCCGTGGGTCGCCCTCCAACGCAATGGGAGTTGACCCCAAGGGAAGATTGGCTCAGCAACAGGCACAAGCACAATATTACTATCAGCAGCAACAACAACAGCAGCAACAAAACCCCAATATTAACCCTACCATGGTAGACCCCTCGGCCCAATTTAATCCAAACGGACTACAGCAGGGACAAACCATTAACTTTACACAGCAACATTTGCGAATAGGCGGACCAAGTGTGTCAGGCAGTATAGGAAATATGGCTCCTAGGATGAGTGGTGGTCCTGTTCCTCCTCCAAGCAATATGAACAGCCGCATTCCAGGACCTGGTCCTGGACCTAGACCTCAACTCCAACAGCAGCAGCAACCTCAAAATCCACAACAGCAACAACAGCAACAACAACAGCAAATGATGATGAGGCAGCAACACATGGCTCAACAGCAGCAACAACTTGGAGGAATGGGTCAACCTGGAATGATGAACCGATTTCCAGGTAATTGTGTGTGACATTGCTCTGAATTAGCATTTTCTCTATCATATTGTATTAACTAAATACTATTTACCCAATTACCAGGTCCTTCCGGTCCTCAACGCGGCGGCCTACCTCCTTCCATGCAGCAAATGATGTCTCAAGGTCCATCTCAAATGGTGAACCAATCTCAACAATCACAACGACCCATGCAGCAGCAACAACCACAGCCTCAACAAATGTACAACAACACGGGGGGAATGTGTGGTAATGGTGGCATAGGAATGGGAGGACCTCCCCTAGGAAACATGCATATGCCGAGGCAAATGTCTCCATACAATGGCAATCACAATCATATGATGGGATCCAATGGACCCCCGATGCAGCAACAGCAGCAGCAACAACAACAGCAGCAGCAACCTTCAATGGGTGGTCCCGGTCCCGGTCCCGGTAGAGGAGATTGGATGGGACAACAGCAATATTCAATGAGTCGTCATCAAGGCCCTCCGAGACCCTCCATGCAACAAATGTCTTATCACTCTGGTAAGTTATTAGATGTTATGCATATATTTGCGTAATGGTTTTCATGTTTTATTCCATAACGATTCTCCATAACGATTTGCATACGTACAATTCTCCTTTGCAGGAATGCCTATGCAAATGCAGCAACAACAACCTCAACCCCCCAACGGTGGTGGTGGAATGATGCCTTCTTACCTCCAATCACAGGGGCAAGGGATGATCCCTCCTCCCCAACAAATGGGCTATAACCACAACCACAATCCTCAAATGCAGCAGCAGCAGCAGCTAAGTGGCTTTAATCAGAAACAACAGGTCGTCGGACATCCTTCTCAACCTCCACCCAACTACCCTACAAATTCGTCCTACGGTGCCCCCATAAAACCTAATGTCATGGGGGGTCAACAACAACAACAGCAGCAACAACAACAACACATGTTTCCCCAAGGAATGAAACCTCCGCAACAACAGCAACAACAAATCCCTTTAACTAATGACATAAATATAGATCAAATGCTAAATAATATTACGGATGACCCGTCAGCATTTTCCGGGGACACTGCAGAATTGTTCCATTCCTTAGATTCCAATTATTCCAGTATACTTGACAATTTATAATATTAACTGTAGTCCCGGCTATTAACGTATAACTAATTAATTTAGACTGTTACATAATCTGCACAAACAAGGGTGTAGTAGTTGTTGTGAGATGACAAATCCCCCCGCCGCATGAGATAACTTGCCAAAAATTATCTCTTGAATATTTTATCTCAGTGGTACAAAAAAGTTCGGTTGGAAATTACTAACTGCCACCACAACAAGAAACTATATATTAATAATATACCAAACTAAGCAAACCAAAAAGGCAGGTGATGGCAGAAGGCAGGTACATAAGAAAGAAGGAGAAGAAGAAGGTTCAATATAAATTCGAATCTTCGCATACCGTAAAATATTTACAAAAACAAACTCGTAAAACTTTGCAATATTAAAAAAAACACAATATTTTATTCCTTTAACAATAATCACCTACCTTAAAGACATTTTTACAACAAAGCTATAGATCAAACAACCAACAACCCAATCTTCGTATCCTCTTTCTTTCTTTCTTTCTTTATTTCTTGATGAAAATTATCATTGATGATTATCACAGATTTTTAACGTACGACGACAACGCATTCTTCACTTTTACTTGCCACCATTCCAACAAATATTCCAATACTACCACTGTTTACTGATGGATATGGATATGTGAAAAAATATTCACCCTTTGAGGCAGATAATCAATCAATCATTCATATTACGGCTACACATTTAAAAAGAGTCTAAAATAATACTTATACTGAAAAAAGTCAATCTTGAAATAATTGCAATATTTGCAAATGAGCCTAACTAGAATTTTTAAAAAGTCAGACGATTAAGATTAAGATATACTTTTGAGTAAATCACGAAATTTTAACAAAAAAACAGCCAGATTTTATACATAAATGACGACACCGACATGCTAAAACAAAGTTAAAAAAATCAACTTCTAAATACATATACTTACATGTGTAACACTATTACCATTATTACTACCAAGACTAACTAAGACTGTAGTGGAGTAGGTAATAATTTTACATAAAATATATTATTTAAAAAAAGTAGAACAAGACAAAACACAAGATAACCCAACTTATACTTATCTCTAAGAATATTCCTACCAATATTAGCATTCTATTTACCAAGATTAACCTATTATTATGATACATATATCCTCGCGTAGGTTTTATACACCCAAAGCAAAGCAACAACTTACTGATGCACTTAAACACCTTAAATAAATGGACAATGTAATTAATAACCAATAATCACAATACAAAACCACTTATGTACTTTAATACAATCTATACATACATACGTGACTTATCTTCTACTACATACTTACGCTACAACTTATCTTACAACTAATACTTTAATCATTATTGTTATAATTATGATTGTTATTATCATTGTCTACTAGCCTAGCGTACATGTAATTACAAATACTTATATATTCTTGACAATTCTCTCCCTCTCGTCGTCCCCGTCACCGTGGTCATAATGATGATACTCGTTACATAGTTGTCCGTTTTATTTTTCCTACACATATGAAAAATCATCCCAGCCTGGTTTGTGTTTCTAGTCTCAATCGATTTTGTTATTATTATTATGATAATTATCATCATCATCATATTTTATTATTTTTGTTATTATCGTACCAATCTCACAAAAAATCACGAAAACGGTAAGATTAAAAGATCTAATATGTACGTTTCCGGTCCAAAGTCGGGATCGGGAAACAAAAATTTAAGTGATCACACATTTTTATACATATATTTTGTACCGAGGAACAAGAGGAATACTTAGAGGTTTACGATTTATATTTTAGACTCAATGCCAAAAACCAGTTTAATATGTTTTAGATTAATTTAATTGCTAGCTTATTTTGAATATATTTAGGTTTATGAGTAACTAATATTTTAGCAGTTGATCAGTTGATGATAATTTGAGGGGTACGTAATGTATTCCGTTTAAAGACGGAATTATTTTATTTATATGACGCGACAACCAAAAGCGTTAATTGTGTGTCACACCACGTATTTTATAGCTTTATTTGATTCATTGATGAATGACAAAACTACAGTATTTTTTATTTAACGTCTTTATTGCCACAACAAACCAACCAACCTTATCTCAGAGAGGGGTCATTAGTTTTATTTTATAAAATCGTTACTGCATACCACCAACCAGATAAGATATTGAGCTGTGTTTTTCTTTAATTGAAATAACGAAAATTTGGTGAGGAGACGGAAATAAGAGAAAGCAACAATTACTACTAAATAAGAATGAGTACCGTTTTAAGACAAATATAATGCGGATTATTATACCGTACCGTTTTAGCTAATCAATCGACGACTATTAAGATGACGATAAGATTTTAAGAGAAACGTGACATTTGTATAAACTTGTACAACTTTTTAGACTTAAGAAGTAAAAACACGGTGTAAACGTACGAATATTAATATTAATATTATTATATTATTGCTACTACTACATATGTACATTGTACACATAGTTATTATATTATATATGCAACCCTTGCGTGGTAGGGATTTGCAAATAAGATGAGAGGACGAAGGCAGCAATTTAAATACTAAATACAAAAACTACGTAAATAAATTAAAGTAATAAATGAAGTAAATATCGATAAACGTAATAAATAATTTTATTTATTTATGTCGAAATATGACATGCAGCAGCGGACATTTGTTTCTTCAGTGGTCATGCACAATCAAGCAAAGTCCAGCACGGAATAATTTGAGTCATTGCATTGAATCATTTTAATATTTTATTTATTTCACATTTTAAGTGCATAGCATTAATTTACATATTATCCAGCGACTTTCAATGATGTCGTCATTTAAAAAATATCAACAATAATTTACCCCCTACAAATATACTTAGCAACAACTGGTGGACTTGTAATTCTTCTTTTTATCATGTCCTCCTCCCTTTTTGGTTCCGCCTGCGATTAACCCTGAGCTCTCTACGCTCAATAATTTCCCCGCAGTTTCTGGAAGAAGAAGTGAAAGTAAAGATCCTCCCACACTGATGACGGCAAATGTAACGAAAGGAAGAGGACCCCACCCTGTCATGGATATAATAATTAATCAATCTTGCCTCATTTCTAATCTGGTCAAGACGCATGTCTTACATAATGCTCCAAAATATGCGATCTGCGGGGAGAAAATTCCCCCCACGCCGGCAGTCACGCCCGAAATTCCGTAGCCCATGGTGCGAATCGATGTCGGGAAACTTTCTCCGGTTAACATCCTCGCTGCTGAGCGAGCCCCAGCAACGCCGAATTTTCCAGAAAGGGTGAGAAACGCGACGAAGCCGGGGTCCATCAGGGTCCCGAAAGAGAGCTCAAGTCCGGCGAGAAGGACGAGAAAGCAGGCCCCAAGAGACATAAAGATGACGAGAGATTTTCTTCTGCCCAATCTGGATAAAAATTAGGTGAGTTAAAAATGTTGATTTTTACTTTAAGCAATTTTTCAAAAAAAATTTTACTTATTGTTAATGAGGAGCGCAGCCGGATATCCCAACGCGTCTGAAAGTCCCATCAGGGCAACGTTGAGGTAAGCATCACCCCGTAAGTTCTTGATATTGTAACTGATCCCAAAGTAGACGATGGACCAAGAAAACCAGATCCCCATCAAGAGTAGCGTCTTCCTGCGAAGTTGCGCATCTCGAAAAAAGTCGACGTATGAAAACCTCCCATTGCTTCCGCTTCCACTCAGGGCTGCCTCCTCGCGCGAAATCGCATCCAAAGTTTGGAAAGTTATTAAGTCGTGATGGTGATTTCGACCGTGATTCACACTCTGAATTTTTCTCACGACCTGGACCGCTTCTTCTACTCGGCCTTGGCGCAATAAGTAACGGGGGCTTTCGGGGATGAATCTGATAGTGATGAAAGGATAAGACTTTTCGATAAAATGGATGAAATTCAATGAATGAGGATAAGATCTTACGGAACGACGACAATCACAAAGATGAATGGAAGGGCAGAATAGAAGAGGAGGCTCCTCCAGGGAGCTACGTAATAAGCGAGGAGAGCAAACAGCATGATACCCTCTCCCCAAGGACCAACACTCCCGATAAGGAGCCGATAGTTGGGCGTCATAAATTCTAACGGGTAGATGGTTGACATCCCCATGAAACCTGTGCTCACAGGACACAAGGCGTAAGAAATTTACAATTTTAACCCATTCATTTCAACCAACCAGAAATTCCTGCTCCCGCAAAAAATCTGGCGACCGCATAAACTACCGGATTTGGTGCCAGAGAGGAGAGACCTTGACCGAACGCCATGAGACCACAGACCCCAATGTACACCCATTTCCTTCCATACCTTATTTGAATAATTTGGAGTACCAATTGCTTAAAATTAAATTCTCGGACATGGATTCATGTATCAATTTGAAATTACCAATCTGAAATTTGTGAAGAAAACAGCGATCCTATCAACATTCCCAGCATTTGAACACTCGTGATGAAATCGGATACCCATGAATGTTGGCACACGAGGCCCCACTAGACACAAATACATTACATATTAAGGAAATTGTCTCAATTTCACTATCAACTACACATGTCCACTGCATACTTATGTATGTACCTCTGCCACAATGGACGACTCATCACTCAGCAACAATGTTCCAGGACAATCACACATCGCACCGGTAAATACTTCATCTACGGTTCCATTTCCATCCACCACGCAACTCCAGTTAGCAATTGACCTGCCTGTAAGTGCATATGTATAAGTGAATTTGACTGTAAATACATGCATAATAATATTATTTATGCATGTCATCTCTAAAAAACAGCTAATTAACACACTCCTTACCCACAAATACGGGAGCAAATGCCACAAACGCTGCCGGAATCTCTGGCAAAAGTAGTGCTACCAGCACGATAAACTGGAATTTGCCAAAACCTCCTGTAACATTTTTTACGCATGTAAAAACCACAATTCATGTAACATCACTGCATATAAATCCAGATTTTTTAAAAATTATTTACCACAATCTTCTAAAACCTCTTCGAACCCTTTCGTCTTTTTATTAAGCTCCGGTTTCATTTTTATTCACTATTTGTTTCGTCTATATCTTGAAGCGTTTCTTGTTCTCCGTTCCTTCCCGTCGTGATGACTTGACTTCACTGAAACCTCCAGACCGATGGGCACCACACTTATTCGTTTATATTTTATTTGACTTTATCTCATTTTTCTTCACCTTATTTGACACTGTCAGTGACACTAAAACTTGTCAATTCCCATTTTGTGAGAGGAATAAGGTCCGAATGAGAAGACTGATGGTCTGTCTGCTGGAAAACCATGCAGTCCAATAATCCATGATGACATAACAGAGTCAACTTTACATAATATTTAGTTTGCTCATCTCTTACGTGTTGAAATGTTAATCTCTGACTAAAAGGCGGAAGCAAGGTCAAGGAAGGTTGCCGTCATACCTACCAATGAGTACTTAACCCTTTACTGATAACAAAGGCGAACCCCTTTAATTTTACTTCCGGCAGTTTATGCTGGAACAAAGCTGTGAATTTACAGTTTGTCCGTGTTTGTGCAGGAATGCATTATTTGAGCGAGGCCCATGCATCGTTTTGTAGTCAGGAAGAGGTTCACCATGGTTCGACCTGGTTTTTCCGCCCGATAAGAAAATTTAATTAACGTTTCTCAAGTTTAAATAAATGCAATAATTATCGGATGATTTTAAAGTGTTGCATAAATTATGATAAATGCAAGACAGATGATTTTATTTAATCCACACGTAGACACATATTTACATACATACCCAAAGACCGCTTATTTCCAGTATGACTTTTTTTATTCACGACCCACATCGACCCACGGAACAAAAAACTTCCTGTTTTCAATTCAAGTTGTTATCGAAATAAAACTGAATGAAATCTGGATCCCACTGGATAATTTGATTTATTATATATATATTTTTATAAATGAAATTGATAAAAAATAACAGAACAGTAAAATAAAGTGTGTCTTATTCGCACCAAAAGTGCGTATGTACTTGTGTATTAATTGCATAACTCTGAGAACACTTGTTCACAGCAGCACGTGTATTTACAATTTGGTCAGATTGGGTGGATGGATTCGGGTTGACTGTGTTCCCACCCGAACCCGGGTTTTAGGACGCGAAACGGAAAATACACACAGGTTTATAGTTTAAACTCATATAAATATTCTGATATTAAACTGGAAGATATTTTATCTCGCAAAGAACTTCCTATTCTCTAAAGAACTCATGCAATATTTAAATGCGACGAGTGATACGGCACAAAGCAGTCCCCCTCCCAAGGAACATCCAAGAACTGGAAATACATCGGTTGACCACAAAAAAACTGCTAATCCGGCCCCAATTCCAGCTCCAACAAGAAATCCAATCACTCCAATGACCACGTGGTCTCGAACCTGTAATCAAGAAATAGTGGTCAAGAAATCATCCAGTTACAGATAACTTGTCCTCGTTATATTTGAAGTAATAATGACTTGCCTGGGTGCTAACTATCCAGCGATAATCCTTCACCCCAGAGATCCAATATTTGACTTGGTGCTCACAATTATCCGTCGTGAGGAGGTAGGGAAAAAATTTTCCGACATCTTTTAGCGCTCGGGTGACAATTTCGTCCCTTTTCTCAGGCGAGAGACCATTGGTTTTGCGGCATCCGATCAACTTATCTTTTGCGACGTCTTCTAATTTATCTCTGCAAAAAAATCAGAAACTAAATTTTTAAGAAATTAAAATTGCGTAAAATTTTAAATCGCTTCCATACCTGCAAATTATAGTTTTTCCCAAACTCAACCCACTTTTCTGCACATCACTCACGTGCACAACTTCACTGTTCCCAATGTACAAGAGGACATGGGAGTAGCCTTGGGTTTCTTTTTTTAACCAGATTTCATCCCCTGCCTCCAGTTGAGGGACAATTGTTCCTTTGTGATGGTTGTACTCGAAAAATTTGTCCACCGCCCAAATGTCGAGGAATAAAGGTTCCACCATGGAACCATCCGAAGTGTTGAGTTGAGCTGCTTTTAATCGAGCCATGATTTCTTGCATGTGTTTTAGGGAGAAAATTGGCAAATTTTCACTAAACGGAATAAACACTACTATTTGATTTACTTTCGTTGAATAAAGTATGAGCTAATAAATCTCAAAACGTGGGTTTGTATGGGTGATGTTTGCATTTGGGTGAATGTAACGCGTGATACACATTGATAAGACGGACTTATCATATCTGTTCAAATTACGATTTTCTGCCCACTGGCCACCTTCTTGTTTGGTTGAATATTTTGTCGCACAACAAGTAACGAGAGGTGAAATCACTTTCAGGTTCCAGCAGTCTCTCTTTTCAACTCGGCATTTGGTGTTCGTTTCATGTCATTAAAACGGTTAACTTCTCGTAAAGATGACGAATAAATGGAAATGAGATAATAAATTATACATACGTGCAAATTACTCATAGTACAAACACGTCAAGAGGAAACGTCCATCTGCTGAAGGACGAACCGTATAGATAACAATTTTAACCGGCTTATGAAGTAACTTTAATTATTTTTGTAATGATCACACTTTATTTAATAAACTGTCTTTTAATTATTCGTTTAATTTACCAAGCACATGCTAAAAAACAGGTATTTCCCAAACATTGCAGTCTTCATGCATATTATTTAAATCATTCCTCTTTACGTCTGTGTGTACTTATTTGATCAGATTACGTCACTTCATTATCATTTACCCCCAACTAAATCTCGACAAATGTTTACAAAACAACTCCTCTGCCTTCTGCAAAACTGGAATTTGGACAAAGCGCAACCTTAGTCGGATTCTGTTCATATGCTAAATATCATGTCAACACCTAAAAATCGACACAATTGAGGTCTTGACACTTGACATTCAGAAACGTAAAAATTGTAAACCTCATTTTTCTCATTGTCTCATTCTTCCCAGCGTACAAAGCGTACTGGCTAAATGAATGGCTTTGAATGAGGATGAGGAACTTGAACCACACGACAACACCGTCATGCACCATAAGGCAAGGCAATATCATCGATTCGAGACTTGAGATGCCTTCTCTGATTGTATTTTTTGACTTCAATTGTCTATTTTTTTCGGATGAAAGTCTAAATCAGAATTGGATTCACTCGCGTTTTTTTACCACCTCGTCACCACCGCAAGCCTTCTTCCTCCATGCACTTCATTTTCATACCATCGTACACATCATTATCGACCATCATCGATGAAATGAATGCTGTATTATTATTATAATGTTGCGCAAATTCAATTACACCTCCTCCGTCCATTATTTGGTCACAACAAGGAGAAGAACGTCGATGATGATGACGATGATAAAGGTCTCTCAATCGACATAAGTCCTGGTTTAACTCGTTTAGCGCACAAGAATGGGACAACAATTCATGCATGTCACAACTAAATGGCTGAAATGATACTACGCCCTGTCTCTCATCCATCCATCCATATTGCACAAGTAAATTAACTCTAAGATCGACCTGTCTAGTTACATCGTGATTGTCTCGCTCGTCTAAAAAATGACGATATTTTGATCTTTGTCACAACAATGTCCGGCATTCCATTCTATGCTCCATTGAACAAGACGAGTTTCGCTCAACCAGTAATTATTACGAGCAGAAATCACGACCGACTACATATGTACACTTTTTCTGGATAAAATAATTCGCTTGAAATACAAGTTCCCTTTTAATAATGGTGTGGGGAAACAATGACTAATGTGAATTGCGACCAGAATGGCGACCACCTAAAGAGCATCATCCATGTGTTTTGTACCATTCTCAAAGTTCCTGTTCCAATTCTTGTACTTATTTCAGTACCACATACATAATATATCATCGCGTGTACAGTACTGCTCACAAAATCGATCAGGATTCCATCCAAGGACAAGGAGTAGAAGAGATTATAAGGAATTCCTCATCTCGATTTTGCATATGGTGGCAATTGTTCAGGTGTGAATGCCTAAGTAATCCGACAATTACAATAAACCACGACGGGAGATGATGACATGCATGAAGAGAAGGAACGAATACATAAATCAGGCCGTATTTTTATCCCTTGTTCCTCTAGAAATTTTGAAATTTTGAAAAAAATTAAATTAGTTGCATACGTAATCTTTTGCAGTTTGTGCACCTTGTATTGTTCAATTAATCATCGACCTATTTTATACGATTCTCTGCAGGACACACACATTTTCCCATCCAGTGTCATGTGCAAGTACACATGTGACTAATTTAACAACGCATGTATGCATGCAACATAAATTAGATTTCAAAGCCCAAGTGGCAACCACTGCCGATTGAATATGAATATTTTGTAATAAGCTCATCACGACGAGATAAAGTCTTAATCAAGTTGTCATCGTCTTGACATGCAGAAAATCAGAAATTGAGGAAAATATGGGGAACATTTTACACAATAAGTAATTACACGTTTCTCAAGTTTTTCGTGGTTTCAAATTCTGAAAAATGGTACAGATGTGTATTTGGTCACTTATTGAGTATGTAAGCATATTAGATCAACGCTTATGTGTATCCAGATAAGCATCATAACCACATAATACTGTCGTATTTCGTAACATTTATATGTACATTTATCCTACGTCGTCATCACTGCGGCTTCTGCAACGATCAAACAGTGGGACTATTGTTTTATTTAAATAGTTACAAGTTTAAGAACAGAACAGAGGAGTCCATTGTCAATTATTGTCATTTTCTGTTAAGAAGAATGACTTACTGTATGTTTTTCTTCTCTCTGATGCAACAATTTTGTGAGGCTAATTCTGTTTTAGGAGAGAATATGGTCCAAAGTACAACCGGGATGGAGAACGTTATGTCATTCCATTTATCTCGGTGCAAATCAATCAATCACAAATAAGAAAATGGAGAAGGCGGATCGCATTCCATTCCTTAATGCATTTTACGATTGTTCACAAAGAGAGGCACAAAGTAAACCCTTATTTTTCAGGTGGGCATAAAAATGCAACTGTTTTTTTTAGCCGCTGAGAAGGTCAAGCATTACGAAACAATTAAATTCATATTATTAAATACACACAGCTCATTCATTACTGCTCATCACTTGATTACCCATTATTTTTGCCTGCCTCCAATTGATTTGATTGTCTGTCGTCGTCTCCAAAAATTGATAAGATCAGGACCTACACACTAAATTAAGCCCATCATAATAAGACCTGGTGATTAAGTAATAATTGGAATTTACCTTTATGTAATTAATTTCTTTATTGCTTTTCTGATGTCGTGATAGACAATCCTGAACAAATAGTGAATGTGTCGCAACAAAAAATGTGACAAGTGACAACAACAACGATGACATTCATTCATTAATAATAAGGCGTTAATTTTAATTCTTGTGTCGTTTATTGTGCGGTGTCTTTTGCATCTGTCAATCCAAGATGAGAGAAGAATCAGCACTCATTGACCAGGAAACGAGCATACATGATTGTGACGATGATTACAAGTATAATACCTTAGCTGCCTAAATGCTTATTAATCCTGCCAAGTTTAACAGAGGAGGATTTGGCCTGATTTTTTCCAAAAAGTGCGAAAAACCTGCACAACTTAACACCTGGGTTGGGCTTCAGTACAATAAAATGGTTCAATTAAGGGCTAAAAGCTCTTGATGATTTGTTGCGTACTACATAAATTAATTTAATTGATGTCCTGCCACGCCAAGCTAATCCTACATAAGCCAAGCTCACGACGGAATAGAATAGCCACCTCCTCGGTGGTAATAGTTGTAGCACCTCCAAAAAATAATCTGGCCATTTCCTTTGTTTTGTACAATTAGAGTGTAAAATGCCCTTGTCTTGAATTTGGTGGTCTCTAAAAAGAAGTCCTTTATTAAAATTAGATCGCGATTAAATCACCTCCCCCAAAGAATGGGGACCCAGACATTGAAAACAAAGCGGAAAGTGAGAAATTACTGGTTAATTGCATTCCCATTCCCATTGTCTCCTTCTCTCTCTCTCCGCGAGATTAATTGTGAGTCTGGCGTCGTTGTTGGTGTGAGGTAGTTATGCAGAGTTTAGTCACTAGTTTAGTGTATTATTTATGGGTGATTTGCTGCCGTTGTTGGGCATTCTCATTCAATAAATTATCATCGATTGATCCATGCACAATAATTCTTTACATGCCGTCAGCGGAGTCAGACTCAATTGAAATCATCGCACACTGAATGAAAGCCCACAGCGAAGAACAACTTATTGTGTGCGTTATGATTATTATGAATACATAATTTTGCTCCGGGTGCATTTTCTCAGATTAGATTAGCACAAGTTTGACCATGAATTGAATTTAGCTCAACACTTACTAAATGCAAATAGAGAGATAACCTTATTACGTACGATGTAAGTAAATGGAGGGAAGAAACACTGTCAATTTCTACAATTCTTAAGACAAAATTAAGGAAACACCTCTTCGATCGCATAAACAACAACTTTTTTGCCGGATGCGTCGCTTTCTTCTAAATCTTAGTTGAATTATTTTACCAATTTAACATTTTGTACACTTTTGTTTTGTCCCATTTCTGTCCAATTTGGTGCCTAAAACACAGACTTTCTTACTGGTTGCTTGTGTCATTAGCAGCAACGCAGGACGTGATCGACCGCATACTGGGCCCTTGAAGCAACCAGTATTATGGACCAAGTCGCAAAAAATATTGTATTATTTTATTTCGTACTTATTTCTTAATGCTTACGCAATAATGGAGGGAAACAAGACAAAATATCGTCAAGTTGCGTACAGATAAAAAGACGCACCCCATGGATTTGTATAAATTCTTGCGTTCAATTTTCCACCTGCCTGTACTTAAAAATACTTAATTTACAATCCAAACCCAGTTTTAGCGACGAGCTTGACAATCATCAGCACATTGGAAAAAAGAATGAAACTGAATCTGGTTCATGAATGATGAATGAGTATGGAAATTGATTGTTGCATATTCCCATTTTGAGCTATCTATCACAAAGAATATTATTCAACTTACAAGCTTGTAAGACACCATCACACCGCCGCATGAGGGCAGAGGCCAAGTTTAATAATAAGTAACAACTGTATGTATTCGGCATGGTAGTCAGATTTACCACTATTTCTGCCTTGCTTACTTGGTGAGTGGGTGTGGTGAAGGTAAATAAGTAACGAATGCATACAAGTTCGGGTTCAAATCTCGTGTTGGTTATCATGTTGGTTGGAAGTCGTCACTCATGTAATTCTGTAAACAATGGAATTGATACGATATCAAAACCAAGTAATGGATTTTCTTGCACTGTGACATAATCAATTACTTAATTCAGTCTCACACGGTGTTTCTGCATAATAAATAAATGTCTCAGATTGCAGCGATAAGGTGATCAAAATTCCTATCGAGTTAAGTCACATACTTACATATTTGTGTTTGACTTGGTACATGCATATTAGTGGTGCACACAATTTTTTAAATCCTGATGGACAACCCTTCCCTGTCATGACTTGTACTTTTTCCTGGTCAATTTTGAATTACAAATTGAATTTAGTCAATTGTTTTTCTACTTATCCAATTTCGCGAATCGCAACAAGAATTATGGCGTTCTTGACCAAAACATTATTTTACACTTTGGTAGGAGTGA